CACGCTACCACCATGCTACGGCCACGCTACGCTACACAATACCATTTACGGCAGCGCCGCATGATCGAGGCGGATTGTTGCATCTTTGTTAACAGCATCTTGTGTTTTGCCATGTCGCCTATTTCGCCCACAAGCAGATGAGTGCATCAGCAGATAATTTTGCTAGTCACGTGCAAACGGTAACAGCTGTATGCCATCTCTTAATGTTTTGTCTTCTAGCAGTGACATGCGCCGATTAAGAAATTGCAAGATTAAGGCCAAATTAATAGTACTTGAGCTGTAATTCTGCTGATCTTAAAGACTCTCTTATCTTCAGCCAGGTTGAAGAACGACGTGGGAAAAAAACCATCTAACTAAAATCGGTAACCCAATCTGCGACAGCGGAATCGGGAATGTAGAGTAAATGCAGCTCTAATACGCTCCCACATTATCGTAATGCAGATCGCAATGCCCAGCATATACGACAACGGTATCGTAAGCGGATAAACGAACGGTGTTGCCGTGACGCACACAGTAGTGGCGCGCCAAGACGTCAATACCAATCATAGACGTGACCTCTGTGTAGGACTAGTGTCGTAACCCCCATTACAAAACCGTGTCAGACATGACAAGCCATGCAAATGCGCGGCCGCGGTCGGAAAGTCTGGGGCGCCTATAGTTCACAGTGCGTTGCTCCTGCATGAGATGCTCAGCTTTATAACCGACTGCAATATAGCTAAACGGCACCACGGCGCACGGATGACACCCTTTCACGAAGTATGTTAGCTTGACCCTTGCAGCTAGGGCTTGTTGAGGATCACTGTTAACTCTTACTGGATACGCTGACTAGACACTTTATTAGGCATAATCGCGGCAAATATATTGCCACGACAATGCGAACAGCGTGTGTAATTTACTTAGGCCTATCTCGTCCCAAAAGCAGGGTGCAGGAAAACATATCGGTTCCTTCTCGTGGGAGGAATTCGTTTGGGTTTGGAGTAGGCGTACCATTATTATATCACGGTAGAGCGTGTCGTCGCTAGCACAGTATGTCTGTATTACAGATCACCACTTCATCGATTTATAAGATGTTGATAGACTTGACTTTATTAGCTATGTATATTGTGCCGAGGCGACGGCCATCCCTTTCTTATTATTAGACAGTACAGTTATAGTCATCTATTGTGCGGTGAAATGTGAGTGGCGATATGTGTGACGCCAGCGTATTGGCGTAATTAATTGCCCAATAAATTGCGAAGTAGGCTTTTCTCGCCTATTAGCCGCCTTCCAATCATCAACGGTAAAACACGCAGGCCAGCCATTGTTTTTAACACGTGATATGAAGAACGGCGTGTTTCGCAGCGAAGAGTGATAAGAGTGTGTCGTTTGTGCGGCACGCGCCGGGCTGTGTGCTGGCGCCAGATCCACTGTCACGACAGAGTGAGTGCTGAGGCTGCATGCACGTACGGCATCGACATAGCAGCGGTGAGGTATACCGAACAAAAACAACGCTGCCCGGGTATATTATAAAGTAAACTGTGTCATCATGCTACGGTTCAGATTCTCACAACAGCAGGCGTCCCAGTTACCTGTCCGCTCGGCGCGACGCGTGATTTGGGCATGGTCAGACTATTCGTCGGAAGGTGGTTGTGTGAAGATGCATCAACGTCGTATCAGTCGTGAGTTGATAGTTTTTGCCGACGATAATACGGTCTGATTTAGTACGTAATGACGTGTTGTGCTAGTAAGTTATTTGATACGAATAACTAGAATTTAATTGCGAACTGTTCATCACAGGAGCGCGTGTATGATTGAATGGTGATTATGGCAATGAGATTTTTCTACCAAATTGATGTGACGCACGAACAATTCATTGGAGTATTGTCACGGTTTATGAGTTCATGACTATAGATCTATATGTGAAGTTGGATAATATCGTCGTAAATTTATTTTTAAATCATAAAAACTCGAATGCTGAAATGTATAAAGGATCATAATATAATGTCTACTTTTGGCAGGTACCGTGAAACTAGCAAGATGTTGGGCTGGATTCTTGTTGCTCTACTCATCCCTGTAAGTTTGTACCAGCACTGACGCATAGATTGTATCAGCTTGATTGTATAGAAGATATTATTATATTATATATTTGTGTAGAAACAACAAATAATGTCATAAAAATATCGAAAAAATTTGTAGTTAGCTCACTTTAAGTTGATTCAGTATTTCCTAGAAATTTTGTCCCCGGAATCAGCCAGTGTTTCAAATATTTTATTCGAGTTATCTAGAAAGCAGGAAAGCAAGAGTGAAGAGTAAGCGATTCGCGTACAGTTGCTGCGTGGGCAAATATCAGACGCGCAATATAGCAGACACTAATAACACGCCGAAAATGCTGCTCACCGTCAAACGACGAAGATAAAATAGCTCGCCATCGAACAATTAATCCTAATTATCGACTTAATTAGGCGATCGATCGCATTCCAAAGCGTTCGTTTAGCCGCGATCTCCTTGCACCGCCCGCATC